ACTATCCCCATTTTATGGATGAAGAAAATTAAGGTCAGCTAAATTAAATGAACAGTTAGGAATTATAAGTATCAGGATTATAACCAACATCTTCCTAATCCCAAAATTAGTAATGTATTCACTGCACCATGATGCCTAAGTGTGATATATGCTTAAATTTCAAGGGAATGAAACCCAGCATTGTTTGGATTATTGAAGTATTAGCTATCATCTCCTGTGTAGCTAATCTAGCTATTTATATTTCAAAACTGATTGTTTGATTATTTGAGCTGCATTATCCTTGCTCAGTTGTAGGCTTCTGTCTTTTATCTGTTTTTATATTTCTTCAAAGAAAGAGGAAAAAGACATACATGTATGTATGTGTGCATATATACACATATGTATAAATATGTGCATACATATGTGTTTATGTATACATGTGTGTGTATATAATATGTGTGTGTATATATTCTCTTTTGTGGCAGCAAAGAACCTGAAACTAAGGGGGTGCCTATCAATTGAGCCATGGCAAAACAAATGATGACAGTATATGAACTTAATGGAATACTATTGCACAATAAGAAATAGTGAAAGGTATGATAATTTCAGAGAAAACGGGAAATATTTATATGAATTGATACAGAGTGAGACAAACACGATGGACAACAATGTTTACAACAACACCATTGCAAAGACAAAGTTTTAAACAACTTGAGAACTCAGATCAACACAATGACCAACCATGATTTCAGAAGACTAATAATAATAATAATAATAATAATAATAACTAAAATTCATATAGCACTCACTATGTTCCAAGTACTATGCTAATCACTTTAAAATTATTCTAATTTGACCCCCAAAACAACCTTGGGAGGTAGGTGCTATCATCAACCCCATTTCACAGATGAGGAAACTGAGGCAAACTGAAGTTAAGTAATGTATCCAAGTTCATTCAGCTAATAAGTATCTCAGATCAGATTTGAATTCATTTAAACCTGACTCCAGGCCCAGCCCTCTATCCACTCTATCACCTAGCATAATAAGAACATATTACTCACCTCCTGAAGAAGAAGAAGTGATGAAGTTATAGGCCTAGGATACAGATTGAGCCTGGCATGATATATGATATATGATATGATATGATATATGATACAAGTAATATATAATATACAAAAAAATATATATATATATATTCAATGTGTGAATTATTTTGTTTGACTATGCACATTTATTACAAGGGTTTGTTTTTCTTTCTTTTTAACTGAGGGAAAGTGGTAGAGGAAGAGAACAGATTTTTGTTAATTAAAAAAAATAAATAATTGTTCTATCTCCTCATAATAACTATGATAGTTCATTGTATAGAACTACAGTTCTAAAGTTCCAAAGTAATTTACAAGAGAACTTTGAAGAACTCCACATGCAAAGTAAAATTAATAGAGCAATCACTCTGCTAAGTTAATCTAAGCAATATTTTCCTCTGAATTATTCAAATATTTCAAGAGAAAATTTTCATTATATATATAGAATATGTGAATAGTCAAATATATACTCCAATTCAATTTGCTAGCATAGACATAGTTTCAATATAAATCAAATTTACCAGATTGTTTTAAGAATGTTAATCCTTTTTGCTCTATTATTAAAAATTCAAGAAAATGTTAGCCTTTCTAAAGCAATAACTTCTAAACCTAAAATTGATCTGGAACCTAAGTGTTTAGATTCATAGAACCAAAGTATTTTATTTTCAAGAACCAGAAGTTTTATGGTATAAATGCCTCATTTTACAGATAATATAACTGAGGTCCAGTGGTCAAGTGACTAGCCCAGGTTCATAAAAGTAGTAAGTTAAGTAGAGCTGACATTTGCATGCCAGCCTCTGAATCCAAATCCATCTAGGCACCCTGAAGAAAATCATTTGGTTCTCTAAAATTGAAATGTACACTGAATAAGGTATGATAAGCAGTCACAAACTCTCAGGAGTTCTCAGAAATCTGATAGTCTAACCCAAACAGGAGCAAGACTTTGGATGGTCTTCCAACCTCCACTTGCTCAAGTGAGGGGGAAAATACTACCCTCACACATGATGCTTATACCACTGATTTTTAAAATGCAAATTATACTTAAAACTTTATAATTTTAGCCCCGAAGCCTTTATGCAGTCTGTCAAATGTTATTACTTCATGTGCAAGAATGATGCTTCTGCCTTTTGCAATGCTCTTTCTGGGATAAGCAACATGGATTCCTTAGTAAGATATTTGACGTCTCAAAGAGTATAAACAGATTGATCTATAGATTTATAGCCTCTCAGAGCATACAGGGACCCCACAGGGAATCTAGTCCAACACACTCATCAGCAATACTTTCTACAACTATCAGTAATAGTCATCCACCTTCCACTTACTACCTCCAGCTATGGGGGACTCTTTACTACCTATCAAAAGGAACTCATTGCTAGACAGTGTTAGACAGTTCTGATTTTTAAGTTTTTATTTACATAAAACAGCCATGCATCGCTGTAACTCTCCAACAGATTCCACACCTGCCCTCTGTTTCCAAGTAAAATGAATCCAATCACTCCTCTACAAAACAGGTTTTCACATATTTGTATTTTTTTTTTTTGGTTAGGCAATGGGGTTAAGTGACTTGCCCAGGGTCACACAGCTAGTAAGTATTATGTGTCTGATACCAGATTTGAACTCATGTCTTCCTGAATCTAGGGCTGGTGCTCTATCTACTGTGCCACCTAGCTACCCCTGCCACCTAGCTGCCCCTAGCTTTCACATATTTGAAAAGAGATATCAATTCTCCCTACCCCCATCCCTGAATCTTTCCTTCCCTTCCCCAATTCCTTCCATAGCATTCATACTAAAGCTTTTATTTTTCAAAATATACCGGATAAACTAAATGTCAACACAGGCAATCCATTCCTTTTTTGCAACTTTGAAATGAACATGATTAATCCCAGATTATTTATGTGGCAAGCATAACCAAGATCAAGAGTTGACATTTATCTTTGCCTGTAAACACAGCCTAAAAATAAGCTGCAATTATATAACTACACTAAAAAAAAATGATGCTATGGGAAAATTGTTTTGTTTTATTTTTATTTTAAAAACAAGAATATTTCTTTTGATTGCATGAAAAAGTTTTTTAAAATGTTGTTTACTAAATAATACAGAAAAAGTGAATAATGATTTTACTTTTGCAGTCCCAAGTATCTTATAAATTCTCAAGGTTAGTGTCATAAAAACAAAAGCAGTTCACAAGCAGAAAGGCAGTAGCTTAGAGTGGAATTATCATCAGCCCAAAACCATTTTGCTATCTAATGGCAACAACACTGATTAATGATTGTTTTTTTAAAAACTAATTTGAAGTAGTATAGTCAATGCTACCATTTTTATTCCTTTTGAAAGTTGTTATAGAGGGGTCAGGACCATAACATATGCTAGTTAAAACTGCAGTGTGCTCTTAGGCCCAATTATGTTCTTCTTTCTTGGTGTGCTGAGGCCAGACTACTTCATTTTATATTTTTTTATTACTATAACAGCTCCCTGCTGTATGGCTAGCTTCGTCAATGAAATTTACAGTCATTATAGTGTAAATTAACATTTATTTTTAAACTCTATTCATTCCTGATAAGAGGCTTTTCCAGATTCATAGTATGTTTGTTACCTAGCATGAGTAAATGAGATTTTAAGAACTCCCTACTTTATATATGTACATATATATGTACATATATACACATACACACACATACACAAATATGTGCTACATGCATATGTATGTACATGTACATGTATATACACATGCATACACATATATGTATATATACACATACATTTATTCTCTGCATATAAATATATATGGCATGTTAACTTTTGTGCTTTAACTAAGAACAATACAGATTGACAAACTAGGGGAAAATGATGATGAGTCGTACTGGTCATCACTTGGCTGAAATTGAGCAAGTCTCCTTTGAGCATCTCATCACTATTTCTTCTCCAGTTCTAGTCATGGGGAAAGGTAAAGTGCATCCATTTTATCTACCCTCTTTCCTGGTTATCCTAGATGACTGAATGAAATACAGTTTACTGTTCGAGGAAGGCAGGCTAGCTGCTTCTATCCTACACACAAAAGACAAAATCAGACCCATTGCAGTAATCTTACATCATTTCATTGCATAATTAAGCAAAGAGAGAATCTAATTAAACATGTCAAGAAGTCTTTGTCAGGGAATCCCTCAATCCCAACATATAACCAAGTGTTCATATTCAGAGTCAGCCATAGTTTACCCATAGGATACTCAACTGTCAGTGCAATAATCAAGAGTGGCTAAAGGATCACTAGGGTCATTTCTGTATTTCGAGCAGCCCCTTATATCAACTTTGGTTGTGGGTTCTGATAGGGGCAGTTCCATGTTAATAGCAATCACTCTAGCCTATGGCAATCATAAAGCATTCTGCTTATGGGTTAAGCTGACTCCTGGAATCTAGGGGCACTAGGAAAGTAGGAAAGGCTTGGGGACCCGAATTCTTGGAAGGGCTAATTATAGGGTCGTTTGCATTTCCTCAAACTACTTTCACAACAATTAAGAGCCATAAGCATTGTGGAGGAGATTGAAAATTAATGTCATTCTTCTTAGTAATCTCTTAGGTGAGGAGTTGGCCCAGGCTAGATATGGAAACTCCAACTCAAACTTTCTGTAGGTCCCCTGGTCTAGACACAAAACACTATGATGGACTCAGGTTTTCTGGGATCTCTTGCTTCTTCAAGACACAATCTGATAGTTAAGAGTCACCTCATGTAGTGTCACCTAGGTTATATGAGAGAAACATGGCCCTGAGCAGCTATCATTGCTACTCTGAATTCATGCTGTATAGAAAAAGTGTATCCTTGCCCAAGGAAACACTCAAGTATCACTTGAGAATATGTAAAGCAGCTTATAATGTGCCAACTTAAGGGTATCGAATTTAAATAACCACTCTTAATAATATTGGTTCTATTCGTGCCATACTTACTAATTTTACTTGCAATTATAGAGAAATTATACTGTGGAGTGCTTTCTCTGTCCAATAATTCATTAGTAGCAATGGTTCCTTCAGTTCCATCTATTGTAAAGTAGCTGTCCCCATCACTCTTCCAATCTATGAAGTACCTACATATAAAAAAGAGAGAGAGCAAGAGATGCAAATACAGGATGATTACCCATTTATCGTACTGGCAGTCAGGTTGGCTTGACATGGTACCTTATTTTTCTCCTTGCAGTCATTACCTGCTTTGCAATAAAGAAGAGTGTAAATGACAGTTTCTTTATTGCAAAGTCAGTATGCTCAAGGGGAAATAGGAAATAATGGAAGATTTAGTACTCCTGCTGTTCATATTATTTTAGGACCTTGACACCATGAAAGCTCAGCAGAGGCTACAGAGTCCCATACTGACCATGGCTTTCCTTACCCGAATGCAGATCAAAACTTTTACAAGTCATGAAAGACTCTTTAAAGTGATATGGGGGTTGAGGTGGAAGGAAAGTGATTTTCAGTACTATGAAAAGAGAGAGAGAGAGAGAGAGAGAGAGAGAGAGAGAGAGAGAGAGAGATACATAAGAAGAAAACATGAAGGTTACTTATTTTTGTACCAGAAAATAAACTGACATTTGAAAAATTAAAGCAGTATTTTTTCTCCCAGAAGTTGTATAATCATAAGAAATTCCCCTTGAATGCATTTTTTGCTGTTGTGCTAATAAATCCCATTCACATTTTATATCACCATGTACAACAACTTTGGGCATCACAGTGTAATATTTTGACAAAGAAGTAATGTTTAAATGAAACAAGAGAAATTGGAAGCACTATGTGGTATTAGGAAACATGTAGCAGATTTATATTTAGCAAACTTGTATTTGAATCCTGGCTCTGTTACTCACTACCTGTGTGACTTCAGAAAAATTACTTAATCTCTCTGGGTCTCACTTTCCTTATCTATAAAATTATAGGTTGGACTAGATCACCTCTGTTGTCTATATTCCAACAACAAAGCTTGAATAGTTGGGTATTTTGAATAATAAATTAGGGGACTGAACTTTATAAATATTTTACCAGGAAAAGATTTCCAAATCCTATGGGATTATAGATTTAGAAATGGAAGGCACTTTAGATGCCAGCCATCAAGTCCAACCTTCTCCTATGGTAAGACCCAGAAAGGTTAACAGACTTGCCCAAAGTCACAAAGGTAGATTTGGATTTCAACCCAGATCTCCTGAATAAATCCAGTGCTCTTTCCTGTCCACAGAGAATTTATCTTTGTGTGACTTTACAGTAATAGAGACTTGCTACAACCTTTCTATCCCCATTTTATAAAAAGAGAGAAGAGAACTGATAATCTAACTGAGGTGTTTACTTTGATTTTTTTTTTAGTTTGAAACATGTTAAAAAATCTTAGAGTCCTAAATAATACAGAGATAATCATTTCTTCACTTTGTGTATATCCATGCTTGATGGAGAAAGGATTTTTCCCCATACTGTTCCTTCACAACATTTCTTTTCAAACAAGCATATAACTACCTAAGCCCTGTTCCCGAGTTGTCAGAGGTTTGGATTTTCTTGGCAGGAGAGATTTTCTGGACTTCTAAAAGTAGGAAGGAAGCTCATGTCTGGGAGAAAAACATTGAAAGAAATGCCAGGCCTGGTTGCCAGCACTCTTTTAGCCATATTCATCTTGGGCACCAGTGGAATAATTCCCACACAAAATTTCTCTTCTTATTTGTAGGAGCAGGAAGAAGCCTTCCTTCTATAGGGACTCATGTGAAACATCTAGCATGAATTTGCTAGACTCATGCTCCCCCAACATAGGCAGGAATTCCACACTTCCATTTGTTTCAACAAGATTATGTCTAATATGACTTTTTTAATGAAGTCTTCTCATTTTATGTTCATGTATGCATAGAATTTTTCCATCTTCTAAGGATTCACAAATTTGTTGATACAGATTTTTGATTCACTGATACACATCATTAGTTTGATATGGCTTGATATACAACCTTTGGGAGTTAGTATGGCAAAACAAAATTAAAATAAACAAAACAAAAATTACCCTGTGACAAACCTAGTAACAAGTTTATCTAAATGTAGCTAGGGTGGTCCTTGGCTGACAGATACATAATCTTTCACTAGACCTGTATTCAAAGTTTTTGTAACTTGCTAGGACCTGTGAGGATTTACTATTCGTTGGCATACCCTACCAACTCTATACTATGAGGAGTTGGACTAGGAATCTACCAGAAGTATATGTCTACATAGATCCTCATATTATATTTTATAATCCCTTGTGGATCATAGCTTTATAATTAAAATTCTCTGTTTAGTATTTAAAGCTTTGCCTATCATGACCCCATTTTAGTGCTTTGGTATCATTAAACATTATATATTTTTTGGTCAGTGAAGCAGACCTTGCTATTCCTCATAAATGATACTATCTCCGATCTCTTTGCCTTTACATGGGCTCTCTACCCACCTCCCTATGCCTAGAATGTACTCCTTCCTCACCATACATCTAGGAATTCTTGCTTTCCTTTTAAAACTCAGCTGATATTCCATTTTTTGCATGGGGTCTGTTGTGTTTTTTTTTATTTTGTTTAAGAAGAGAGAAACAACATGGTAGGGTAAGAATTCCACACCTAGACTTAACTGCTAACTTCAACTCTGCCACTTTTATGCTTTAGTTCTAATAGTGCAAATCACTTCACCTCTCTGACTTTCAATTCTCTTATAGGTACAGAGAGGGTAGGATCATGATATCCCATTCAGCTCTAATATGTTGTGATTTTATCCTCAACCTTCTAGAGAGAAAGAGTAGAAAGCTTCCTTCTGTAGTTTTGCAGTAGTTTATTTTCCATCCTCGAAATAAATAATTATGATTACATTGATATCTCATCAAGGGAGAATAAAATCAGAGAAAGAAAACTATATATCATTTTACCTAATAAATATTGATGCAAAAAAATTAAATACTAGCAAGGAGACTATAGCAATATATAACAATATATATAGCAATAGATAATGATCAAGTGGGATTTAAACCAAGAATGCAGGGCTCATTCAATATTAGGAAAACCATAAGCAAAATCCACCACATTAATAACCAAAAATAACAAAAGCACATGACTATTGATATAATAGAGGTGCAAAAAAGCTTTTGACAAAATAAAATACCTAGTCTTATTGAAAACACTAAAAACATGGGAATAAATAGAGCTTTTCTTAGGATAAGTTGTATCTAACTAAAATCAACAGTAAGCATTATCTGTAATAGCAATAAACTAGAAGGCTTATAGCAAAAATGAGAGGTTAAACAAGGATGTCCATTATCTTCATTATTATTAAATACTATTTTATAAAAGATAGCGATAGCAATGAGACAAGAAAAGAAAATTAAAGAAAAAAGAATATGCAATAAGGAAATAAAACTATCAGTCTATGCAGATGTTATGATGATACAATTTAACAACTGTAACAAAGCTGCAGGATTTAAGTAAACTTACATAAATCATCAGCATTTCTATATACTGCTAACAAAACCCAGCAGGAAGACATAGAAAGAGAAATTCCATTTAAAATAACTGTAGACAATATAAAACCTGACAAGACACACAGGAACTTTATGGACATAATTACAAAATGCTTTTCACACAAATAAAGACCGATCTAAACAACAAGAGAAATATGAATTGCTCATAGATAGGGTAAACCAAGATAATAAAAATAACAATTTGACCAAAATTAATTTACTTACTCAGTGCCCTATCAAACTACCAAAGAATTATTTTATAGAACTGGGAAAATAATAAAATAAAATTCATATGGAAGAATATCAAGGGATTCCATGGGGGAAAATAAGTGAAGGAAGGTAGCCTAGCAATACCAGATATCAAACTATTTTATAAAGCAGTAATCATCAAAACAACCATTGTTGGTGGAATTGTGAAGTGATCCAACCATTTTGTGGAGCAATCTGGAATTATGCCCAAAGAGTTATTAAACTGTCTATACCCTTTCACTCAACAATACCACTACTTAGTCTATTCCCAAAGATAATTAGGGGAAAAGGAAAAGAATCTATATGTTCTAAAATTTTTATAGCAGCTCTCTTTGTGGTGGCAAAGAATTGGAAATTGCAGGATGCCTATCAAATGGGGAATGGCTATGGTATATGATTGTGATGGAATACTACTGTGCTATAACAAATAGTGGCTCAATGATTTTTGAAAAAAATATAGAAAGACTTGCATGAAATAATGAAGAACAAATCAAGCAGAACCAAGAGAACATTGTACATAGTAACAGCAATATTGCTTTAAGAACCACTTTGAGCAAATAACTTATTTTGACTATTACACATACCCAAATTAACTATTAAAGACATATGAAGAAAGATGCTATCTATATCCAGAGAAAGAACTGATAAATAGAAGTATGTATAGAATAACTTTATACACACACACACACACACACACACACACACACACACACACAAACACACACACACACCCCCTATTTGTGTGTAATGGTTGCCATCTCTGGGGGGATGAAGAAAAACATAAGTTTACATGATAATTTATTGTATATTTGAAAGGAATAGCAAGTTGTATATAGCAGATTTACATTTGCATATGCAATCAATTTAATTGTACTATGCTATGGAAATGCTTCTTTGAGTCCATAATTAAAAATAAAATAAAATAAAACAATCTAGAATAGAACAGAAATGCAGCAGTTGATCATGGAAGAAGTTAGAGACACAATACACAAAAATAAATGATGAGAGCAATCTAGTGTTTGATAACACTAGGATGTTTGGATCTAAACTTTTGAAGCAATAACTCACTATCTGACAAAAATTTCTGGGAAAACTGGAAAGCAGTCTGCCAGAAATTTAACAAAGACCAAAATCTCATACTTTACACAAAGACAAGATCAAAAAGGGTATATGATCACACATAAAGGGTAATATCATGAGCAAACTAGGGAAGCATGGGAAAAACGCCTATCAGATCTATGGATAATGGAAGACGTTATGACGAAAAAGAAAAACAGAGAAGTTCACATTAGATAAAATGGATATTTTCGATTACATGGAATGGAAAAAGGCTTTGCACAAACA